CACTTTACAATTTTCTTCCTTTTTTTTTTTTTTTAAGATTTTATTTATTTATTTGACAGAGAGAGAGAGAGACAGCGAGAGAGGGAGAAGCAGGCTTCCCGCTGAGCAGAGAGCCCGATGCGGGGCTCGATCCCGGGACCCTGGGATCATGACCCGAGCTGAAGGCAATTAACCGACTGAGCCACCCAGGCGCCCCATGCACTTTACAATTTTCTATAGTGAATGTGTAATTAACAGGAAAAACAATTAAGTGAAAAAATAAAAAAAAAGGAAAGCCTTCACATGACTTTCTTTCCTCTTAATTATTTTATTGCTTTGTCTTATTTCCTCCTATCAAATTTATTTTTTTAATTTTTACTTGTTTTATTTAAAGATTTTATTATTATATTTAAGTTTTGAATTTATTTTTATTTTAAAGTAATCTCTGCACCCAACATGGGGGTAGAACTCACAACCCTGAGTCATCCTCTCTTACCAACTGAGCCAGCCAGGCACCCCTCTATAGAAATATTTTATTTTATTTCATTTATTTGTTTAAAGATTTATTTATTTAGTTTAGAGAGAGAGCAAGGGGTGTGGGGAGAGGGAGGCATAGTCTTTTTTTTTTTTAAGCTTTTATTTATTTATTTGACAGAGAGAGAGAGAGCCCATGTATGGGGAGTGGCATGCAGAGGGAAAGTGAGAAGCAAGCTTCCTGCTAAGCAAGGAGCCCAACACAGGGCTTGATCCCAGGACCCTGGGATCACGACCCAAGATGAAGGCAGAGGCTTAACCAACTGAGCCACCCAGGTGCCCCAGGAGATGTAGTCAGTCTTAAGCAGATTCCACACTGAGTGTGGAGTCTGACTCAGAGCTGGATCTCAGGACCCTGAGATCATGACCTGAGCTGAAACCAAGAGTTGTTTGCTTAACTAACTGCACCACCAAGGCGCCTCTATAGAAAAAAAATTTTTTTTAAATATTTTTTTAAGTTTTTTATTAACATATAATGTATTATTTGTTTCAGGGGTACAGGTCTGTGATGCATCAGTCTTACACAATTCACAGCACTCACCATAGCACATACCCTCCCCAATGTCCATCACCCAGCTACCCCATCCCTCCCCCCACCTCCATTCCAGGAACCCTCAGTTTGTTTCCTGAGATATGAGTCTCTTATGGTTTGTCTCCCTCTCTGGTTTCATCTTGTTTCATTTTCCCCTCCCTTCCCCTATGATACTCTGTCTTGTTTCTTAAAATCCTCATATCAGTGAGATCATATGATACTAATCTTTCTCTGACTTATTTCGCTTAGCATAATACTCTCTAATTCCATCCACATTGTTGCAAATGGCAAGATTTCATTTTTGATGGTTGCATAATATTCCAGTGTGTGTGTGTGTGTGTGTGTGTGTGTGTGTGTGTGTGTGTATCACATCTTCTTTATCCATTCATCTGTTGATGGACATCTAGATTCTTTCCATAGTTTGGCTATTGTGGACATTGCTGTTATAAACATTGGGGTGCATGTGCCCCTTCGGATCACTACATTTGTATCTTTGGGGTAAATACCCAGTAGTGCAATTGCTGGGTCATAGGGTAGCTCTATTTTCAACTTTTTGAGGAACCTCCATACTGTTTTCCAGAGTGGCTGCACCAGCTTGCATTTCCACCAACAGTGTAGGAGGGTTCCCCTTTCTCCGCATCCTTGCCAGCATCCGTCATTTCCTGACTTTTTAATTTTAGCCATTCTGACTGGTGTGAGGTGGTATCTCATTGAGGTTTTTATTTGGATTTCGCCGATGCCGAGCGATGTTGAGCACTTTTTCATGTGTCTGTTGGACATTTGGATGTCTTCTTTGCAGAACTGTCTGTTCATGTCTTCTGCCCATTTCTTGATTGGATTAGTTGTTCTTTGGGTGTTGAGTGTGATAAGTTCTTTACAGATTTTGGATACAGATTTTGGATACAGCCCTTTATCTGATATGTCATTTGCAAATATCTTTTCCCATTCTGTCGGTTATCTTTTGGTTTTGTTGATTGTTTCCTTTGCTGTGCAAAAGCTTTTTATCTTGATGAAGTCCCAATAATTCATTTTTGCCCTTGCTTCCCTTGCCTTTGGTGATGTTTCTAGGAAGAAGTTGCTGCAGCTGAGGTCGAAGAGGTTGCTGCCTGTGTTCTCAAGGATTTGTCCCTATAGAAAAATTTTAAAGAATTGTCTCCTCTGGCTGGTTCTGTCACTTCTCCTCCCATTTACTACTTGATCCATGACAATTTGGCCTCCTCCCCAACCTCGGAGGGTGACTCCACCCTGGAAGGATCAGCAATGAAGTCTTAAGTTGCCAAATCCAGTGGCTTCTCCTTTTTCCCTGCCAGAGCTTTCTTTTTTTTTAAAGATATTTTTTATTTATTTATTTGACAGAGAGGTAGAGAACACAAGTAGGCAGAGCGGCAGGCAGAGGGAAAGGGAGAAGCAGGCTCTCTGCTGAGCAGGGAGCCCGATGTGGGGCTCGATCCCAGGACCCTGGGATCATGACCTGAGCCAAAGGCAGTCGCTTAACCAACTGAGCCACCCAGGTGCCCCCCTGGCAGAGCTTTCTGCAGTATCAGATATGGTTGGTGCTTTCCCCTTTCTGTAAGCTCCCTGCCTGCCCTCTGGGCTTCCTCTCTCCCCTCTGTCCAGGACCTAACTTTTCTGACCACCTCTGGTTGGTCCTGGCAGGTTCCTCTCAGCTTAATGTTCCCTAGGTTTGGGCATCTAGCCCCCTCCCTCTCTGCACACTCTTCTTGGGTGGCCTCATCCACTCTTGGTCTGTATGATTCCATCCACGTGACAGCTCCTATATCCCAGTCCTGGCCTCTTGCCTGGGACAAGTCAATCCAACTTCCTTCTGAACACCTTCATTTGGATGTCCCTCAAACACCTTACACTCAAGAAGTCCAAACCAACTCATCATTTCTACTTTCCCTCAACCCCAATGAATTCTTCCTGTTTTGTTCCTTCCCTGGGAAGTCGTCATTGTCTCATTCTTTACCTCACCCCTCACATCTAGTTGGCTCCAATTTGAAACTGTCTGGAACACATCAGCTCCCTGAGGATGTGTTCTGGCTCTGCCCTGCAGGAGGCCTCCTCACTCTCTTGCTTGGATAATCATAGCAGTCTCACCAACATAGCTTGTTTTTCTTCTTCTCCTTCCCAGTCCACACCTTCTAATTTTTCTGATTATTCATTCCTTTAGTCAGTCAACAAACATTTGCCATGCACAAACTTTGCTCCTAATACTATGAGGGGTGAATGATACAGATTGACCCAAAATAGGTAAATAAATAATCTAGGGGATTTCAAATTGTGGGGATTGCTATCAAAGTAAGCAGGGGGATTGAGAGAAAGTAGGGCATGGGAAGGGGATTTCTTTCAGAGGTGGCCTTTGCCCTGGAATGATCCCCCAGATGAACATGACAGTTGTCCTGATGGAACTGGGGGGCAGCAATGATAGAAAAGAATGTGGCTGGGGACCCCACGTTAGGTTGGGAGCCAGGGAAGGTCTGTGAGGAACAAAGGATGAGAATGAGCTCTGAAGACCTGCAGGAGGTGCTTTCCAGGTAGAGGGAAGAGCTAGTGACAAGGCCCTAAGGGGGTTCCCAGCACACAAAGGAGCTCAGGATGTTTGGAGCACAGTGAGTTAGGGGCAGAAAGAGGAGGGCAGGAAGATCATACCTGGTGGCCCTGGTGGTGGGGGAAGGGTGGTCGTGGTGGTGGGGCTGGGTTTTATTCTAAGTGCAATGGGAAGCTATTAAAGAGTTTTTCACAGGAAAGTCACATTTGACTTTATCTCTTCAAAAGATTTCTCCCTCTAGGTGTGTAGGGTGGAGAGCATCTGGGGGTGAGGTGGATAGTGTGGCTGAGTGCTAGGAAATTAACTGCAGTGGTCCAGGCAAGTCCTGTGGGCTGGGCTGGGTGTTAGCCGTGCAGATGGAGAGGACTTAAAACCTTCCTTGGGTCCTCAACCCTTACAGGCTAGCTCCATACTCCTTAGGACAACCATTTGGTTCTAGCCTCCCTCTTCAGCCCATCTCCCACCATTTCTTCTTTGTCTTTGCAAATGTTGTACTTCTTAGAATGTTCTTACCCATTTTCCCTTTGATTTATCCCTGAGACCAGGCTCAAATATCCCCTCCTCTCTAAAACTTTTCAGGGGGTGCCTGGGTGACTCAGTTGGTTAAGCAACTGCCTTTGGCTCAGGTCATGATCCTGGAGTCCCGGGATCGAGTCCAGCATCAGGCTCCCTGCTCAGCAGGGAGTCTGCTTCTCCCTCTGACCATCCTCCCTCTCATGCTGTCTCTCATTCTCTCTCTCTCAAATAAATAAATAAAATCTTTTTTAAAAAAATAAAGCTTTTCAGGAATTCTCCAGGGAGAGCCCTTTGAACTTTTTCAGTGCTTAGTTTATATCTCTATAATATCACACCGTACCATCCTGTATGTTTACAATTCTATGTCTGAAGAAGGTGGACCAAGAGCTTCTGGAAGGCAAGGACAGGCTTTTGGTAAATGTACAGTGAGGGTTCAATGCATGATCAAAAGATATTGATGGTCCCGCTATGGAACAGTTCACATAGGTCAAGACTCCAGTCACCCCTGTTATATTCAAAATCACCTGATAATGTGTAAGTCCTTGATCAGAAGAACAGATACTAATGTGGGTATTACATCTCCTCATTTGATCCTGGAAACAGCCCTGAGAGGTGGGTACAGTGGGAAAATCATCTCTATTTTACAGATGAGTAAATCAAGGCTTAAGGAAGAGGAGACTGGCCAATGTCCCTGAGCCCCCAAATTCAGTTCTATTGTTGTTGACTCCTGGGTCTCCTCGCCTATCCTTGAATCAAGAATGTAAGACTTCCTGTCACCTCTTCATGGTGGAGGGGACATCCAGCAGAGAGATGACTCACAGGAGGCAAGTTGGGGAAGCAATTCTCCTTCCCCCTTAAAAAATTGCCCCACATCACCACCTTCTTTGTTCCTAATAAGGAAAGCAACCATCTCAGCGCTTATAGCCTTGGACCCTGGAGAGAGAGGGACTGAATTGAAATCCTGCCCATCTCTACCATTTACAGGTTATGTGACTTTAAGGAATTAGTTAACTTCTCTTGCCCCCACTCCCACCTCCCGTTTTGTTTGTTTTGGTTTTGGTTTGCTTTGTTTTTGTTTTTAATCTGTAAAACGGGAGTGAGAAAGAGTTATAGTAGGGTTGCCGGGAATATTATAGGAGACAAAGCATCTTCCCCAACGCTTAGCCATATAGAGAGGTCTTAATACTTGCTAATTACAATTACTGGCCCCAGAAATTTTCCTAAGCACTTTTCAAGTATCATCTCTTTTAATACAACAATCTTATGCCTTAGGCGACATACAGGCTTGGAGCTGTTAATAACGCCCCCGAAGAAGTCGAGACTTGAACCCATAACCTCACAACCAGGCAAAGCTTGGCAAACACGCGTGGTTCAGAGAATGCAAGCAGCTTGCTCATGGACTCGTGACCAGTTACTGACTATACTCAACCAGATTTTTGATTCCGAATTTATAGTTGGCATAACTTCTGAAGGTCTGTAACACGTAAGCTCCATAAAACTGGATTTGGGGAGGTGAAATGGGCAGTCCTCCAGAGGAGTCGAGAGACCGGCTTCTGCCCCAGATTGTAGATGAGGTGAGTCTTTAATTTAGACCTCTTTTTCCTTACCGTGAAGTGGGGGAAGAAGAGTTATTAGGGTCCCCAGAGCCCTTTCCAATACTGACTCTCCAGAGCAGAAAACCCCTGCTCAGGTAAAGGCTCACTCAAATCCCTCCGGCTGGGGTTCATCCTCCGCGGGGCCCGCAATAGGGACGCGTCCCCTTTAAGGCGCCAGCTCGCCGGCGGCGGCGGCCGGAAGTGTTGAAGCCCGGCCTGGCGGCGGCGGTGGCAGTAGCGGCCGTGGCGGCCTCTGCGCATGCTCCGTCGCCCGCCCGCCCTGGCCGCTCGCCGCCCGCCCGCCCGACGGAGACGGTGAGGAGGGGGAGGGGTGGGCGCGCGGGCGCGGGCGCGGGGTGGGGTGGGGGCGGGGGGGCGGGAGCGGGGGCCGCGCGGCGGCCGGCGAGGGCGGGCGGGCGCGCAGGGGGCGGGGGGCTGCTGCCTCCGCGGGCGCCTCCCCACGCCCTGTGCGTGCCGCCGCCGCCGCCGGGGAGCGAGCGGACGTCGCGGCGCCGCGGGGGGGTGGGGGGGCGCTGCCGCTGGGTCCGCCCGAGCAGCCGGGCCGCCCCCAGCGCGGCCGGCCGCGCCGCCCGGGCTCGGCCCCTGGTCGAGGGCGGCGGGCGCCGGCGAGAGGGACGCCGGGGGGCCCCCGCGCCCCCAGACTGAGGGCCCCGGAAGTCCCAGGCTGAGGGGCCCGGAGGGGCCTGAGCGACTCCGGACTGAGAGGCCCGGACGCCCAGGACCCCGGGGAGGGGTCCGGGGATCCCGGGGATCCCCAGAGGCGGGGCCCGGGGAGCAGCAGGCCCGTCCACGCGGAGCTGGGGAGGGGCCTGGGTTGCGCTTGGGCGGGGGTGGGGGGACGAGAGGCTGGGGGGGGGGGGACGAAAGGTGAAGGAAGCCTGGGTTCCCGCCCGGGAGGAGACCCTCGGAAGCTTGGCGGGGGAGCAAGAGCAAAGAGTAGGTTCTGCTGAGGGAAGGAGGCCTAAGCTTCACCCAAGGGGCGCGTTAGAGGCCTCGGCCGTTCAGTCCAGGGGAAAAGAGGCAGGTGTTGTTCTGAAGGCGTGGCGACACAGTCGGTAGTGGGAGCAGGGGATGAGGAAGAAGAGCTCCAGGGAAAGTGAGCAGGCCTCTGCCTTCCCGGAGGTGAGGGGGCAGTAGGAAGACGCCTCAGAGCCTTCTCAAGTAGGAATGGGAAGGGTCCAAACCTGTGAGGGTGTGAGAGATTGAGTACCTTCTGATAGAGAACAGGACGATCTGGTGTGTTAGGGGTTGGGAAAACCCATGTTTTTGAGGACCGGAGAGAAGATAGTTGAGGGGAAGAAGCTTGAGTACCCCTACTTTCAGAAATGACAGGGGAATCGGCCAGGTGTCTCCTGAGGGGCAGGAACGATGGCAGCAGAATCTTATCTGAGGGTCCTGGAGAGTGATCCACCAGACTTAGGCCTGTCAAGCCTTGACCTACGGATCCGGGGAAGGCTTGACTGTCCAAGGAATAGGAGGAGGTCTGAATTCTCTTAAAATGAGAGAAATCTCAAAAGTACTTGCTACCAGACACAGAAGGGGCCTTGTGTGGTGTCTTTTTAGGAGAACCAAGAAATGTGATTCCTCCTTAACCTGGAGGATGAGGGAGAGGGAGGATCAGGTCATTCTAGACTCAAGGAGGGTTTCTTCTCCCTTGCCTCTGCTAGTGGTTACCAAAGTGCTTTTGGAGGACTTTTTCATTAAATGTTTGAACTGTCTTCCCTAATTAATCAGCCTTTTAATCAACTATGGATACTTAAGATCTACTGACTTCATGACTTTTTTATTAGTCATTAGCCAACCATTTATTCATATTTACTTCAACAAACATATTAAAAAGCTAATTTGTACTCAACTTCATTGGGTTAGCTTGGGCCCTGAATTGGTCTTGTCCTAAGCAGAAGTCTCCTAGACTCTAGTGCGGTGATCTTTCAAAGAACACTTTTATCTCATTGCTTCCCCCAAACACCTAAATAGTAGTCTCCAATATGTGACTTATCCCAAACTTTGTTTTGGCTGTGTCCCTCACAGTGGTCCTGTGTAGCCTTCTTGTTGGCTTTACTACATTTCATAGTGCCCTGGATCACTTACTGAATGCATGAGAAGGAATGGAAAAAAAAAGGAGTTTTGGCATCAAGTAATAATAAAGTTTTACCTTGGAAAAAAATTTTTTAAGACTTTATTTGTCAGAGAGAGAGCACAAGCAGGGCGAGCAGAGGCAGAGGGAGAAGCAGGCTCCCCGCTGAGCAGGGAGCCCGATATGGGACTCAATCCCAGGACCCTGGGATCATGACCTGAGCCGAAGGCAGCCGCTTAACCGACTGAGCCACCCAGGCGTCCCTAACTTGGAAATTTCTTAAGAATAGAAACACAGTTTCTACACAGTTGGCGCTCCCGGGTAGCTTAGTGCATTAAGCGTCTTGACTTTGGCTCAGGTCATGGTCTCAGTGTTCTGGGATTGAGCACCGCCCCCCCCCAGGTCTGGCTCCCTGCTTAGCAGGGAGTCTCCTTCCTCTCCCTCCATCCCTCCCCCCACTCATGCGTGTGCTCTCTCTGTCAAATAAGATGTTTAAAAAGTAAAGAAGCTACACAGTCTATGAAAATACAATACAGTATGGAATGAATAAATACATTTTGGGGTTAGAAAACTTCAGGGTATCTGCTATTTCTTTTATTCCTTTTCAACTACCAACTCTGATGTTCCTGCAGTCACGTGACACTCATAATCCTGCTACGTTTTAAACATTAGTTTTCAGAAGTGCCTGGCTGGCTTAGTGGATGAAGTGTGTGACTCTTGATTTTGGGGTTGTGAGTTTGAGCCTCATGTTGGGCACAGAGATTACTTAAAAAAAAAAAACAACCCAACAACAAAAAGAAACATTAGTTTTCAGAACAGAAAAAAATGAATTTAATCCGGAGTAGGTCAGATGTCATTTATTTAGTTATTTTGTAGCTTATGTGAGTATTCACGTGCCTACTTTCAAGGTATCTTTTTTGTCTTTGAAAATAACTACAAAGTAATTCTTTTCACATAAATTTGACATCTTTTCTTTATGTGTGTTCCCCTAGAATTACAGAGTGTTGTGTGATTGCACAATGAATACTCTCAGGCCCTTTCCCTGAAATACCCAAAAGCAACTCAATCATCTTGCCTCAGGAGTTTTTGTTGCTATAAACAAGAGCTACTTTTTAGTTTATACTCACCTCAAGAGATGACCTTGCAGTTAGCCAGTGTAGTCTGTAGAGCTGGTTTCGGTTTACTTGTTAGGAATGTGGTATTTAGGGTAATAAGAGATACTCAACCTAAACTTGCTTCTCTAAAGAATGTAAGTATTGCCATGTTGGATCAGACCTTGTGTCTCTTACTGACACTGAGAGACATATTGTGGATGATTATAATTACCTTCTTGGATAAACTCAGGAGGTTAGAGAACATTCCTCTTGGGTTCCAAGGTGTGGGAGGGCTAAGGAGTAAAATATGAGTTCCCATTGAGGAAAGTATTAATCAAGTAGTTAGTCAACCACTTATTCAGAGTGTTGTAGAGAGGACTCAACCTTAGGGTAGAAGGTTAAAACTAGAAGCATCCTTCTAATTCTCCTCCTCTAACCCATTAATTTACTTAAGCTATTTTTAAAATTGTAAATCACTGTTTTATTTTTTTTTAATTTTTTTAAGATTTTATTTATTTGAGAGAGAGAGAGAGAGAGAGAGAGAGCACATGAGAGGAGGGAGGGTTAGAGGGAGAAGCAGACTTCCTGCTGAGCAGGGAGCCCGATGCGGGACTTGATCCTGGAACTCCAGGATCATGACCTGAGCTGAAGGCAGTTGCTTAACCAACTGAGCCACCCAGGCGCCCTAAACCACTGTTTTAAAATAATAAATTACATAAGTTTGTTACATGCTAAAGTTTACATCTTTTAAATTCATTAAATATGTAATAGTAACAGAATAGTGCTTGACAATAAGTGTCCAACAAATGTTAGCTGTGATTCTTTTCATTCAAGCTACATTTTTATGGTTCAAGCTTTGAAGCTATCTATTGGTTCAATCATTCTAGGATTTGATAGCATTTGTATGCTTCGTCATATCCCTTTTTGTCTTTTTCTAGACTCCGAGGTCCTAATTGTTTTGGTTCTGTTGCTGGCAGCCAGCTGAACCAGTCCATTGATTCTCTTTTTTATCCCTAGTTTTGTTTTGTTTTAAGGTTTATTTATTTATTTGAGGCGGGGGTGGGGCAGAGGGAGAGAGAATTCTGAAGCAGACTCCCCACTGAGCTTGGAGCATTGCAGGGCTCAATCCCAGGACCCTGAGATCATGACCTGAGCCGAAATCAAGAGAGGGCCGCTTAACCGATTGAGCCACCCAGGTGCCCCTATTCCTAGTTTTCAGCCTTTGATTTACAGAAGTTCAGATAGTGTACTGTAATATCTTGCAATTAATTTTTTTCTCTAGTATATGACAATGTCATGCATCTCTTTTCCTTCTTTAGTTCATTAAGAGCAGATACTGTCCCTTTTCATATTTAACGAGCCTAACTCTGTGCCTGATGTGGAGTAGAGACTCAGTAAGTATTTGTTGAACTGGCCATAATGACAGACAATAAGTTTAGCCTAGCTGCCCAAACAAATTTATATCCCCTAATTTAGAAAAGTAGAAAATTCTAGAAGTCTTTTAGGGCAAGGCGAGTCATTCACTACACAAAAATATATTACATACCTGTTATGTGCCACATTTCCTCAGAAAGTTTTAGCTAGGCAGTTTTGTAAATAGAAGTCTGATATTTGAACACTATTTACTTACTCCTGTTCCTGGGTATTGAGCTAGGCATAGGGGAACTGTTGAAAAAGAAAAGCAATCTTTGCTCTCCCAGGATATAGTCTGGTGAGGAGAGGTTGACAAAGTGGGGTAATGGTTATGACAGGGGTGCTGCAGCAGGTTCTAAGGGAGCAAGAACACAAGCTTACATCTAGTCAGGGAAGTCACAGGCCTCCCTGTGAATGAACGTGTGTGTGTGTGTGTGTGTATTTTTTTTTATTTTTTAAAATTTTTATTTATTTTTTTAAGTAAACTCTGTGCCCAGCATGGGGCTTGAACTCATGACCCTGAGATCAGGAGTCGCATGCTCTACCAACTGAGCCAGCCAGGCATCCCAGGAAGTGATGTTTTAAATAAGTTATAAAAGTTTAGCAGTGACTAGCCAAAAAGAAAGGAAAAGAGAATTCTAGGTAGAGGAAACAAGTGTGAAGGCTCAGGTGAGGAAATATGGCATGTTTGAGAAATTGAAAAAAATTCCGCAACAGGAGCCCACAACATGAGAGGAAGAACTATGAGAAATGAGGCTAGGACGGGACAGATTTGGAGGATTCTATAAGCACTGTTAAGATGCTTGCACTTTAAGAGCAAAGGGAATCCACTGAAGGATCCTGAAATGGGGAAATGGCCTGTGGCCTTCAGTAAGATTACTTTGTCAGCTCTGTAGATAATGGAGTGGAGAGCAAGACCAGAGATTAGGATACTGATGAGAAGCAGCTGGAAAAATTCAGGTAACAGTGTGGCAGCTTAGAATATGGTGGTGGCAGCACAGATGGAGAATTGGGGATGGTTAAAAGAGAAATATAGATGGGGCGCCTGGGTGGCTCAGTTGGTTAAGCAACTGCCTTCGGCTCAGGTCACGATCCTGGAGTCCCAGGATCGAGTCCCGCATCGGGCTCCCTGCTCAGCAGGGAGTCTGCTTCTCCCTCTGACCCTCCTCCCTCTCATGTGCTCTCTCTCTCTCATTCTCTCTCTCAAATAAATAAATAAAATCTTTAAAAAAAAGTAAAAGAGAAATATAGATGATAGAATGGATACGATTTGGTGGTTGATTGGATTTAGAAAGGGAAGGATGAAAAATAACTCCAAAGTTTCTGGCTTGAGAAAATAGGTAGAGGATGGTGCCGTTTACAGAGGCAGGAAACAGGAACAGGTTTATGAGAGAATATGAGTTCAGTTTAAGGTGTCTACAAGATAAATTTTAAGAGGCTTTTGGGTACAAGAGGTATAGCATTCAGGAAAAAAGTTTGTGAGAATCATAAAAGGCATAAGTCTGATATATGGAATTTTAACTAGGTGAAATACAAACAAAAATTGATTGAACCAATGTGTCAGTGCCATGATGAACAGGGCTGTGGGAGACAGGCTTTTTAAAGAAGCAACACCTGCCCTTTTAATTTTTAGAATTAAAAATACCAAAAATATGAAAAAATAGAAAAAATAAAGAAGCACCTCATAGTATAGTTCAGTTATGGAAATAGAGGTCTGTTCAGTTAACTACAATACAAAGCACAGTGTGATAATTGTTAGAGGAGAGCTACAAACCAAGTACTGGGGGACCAGAAAAGAAAATGGTTTGGGGCGTCTGGGTGGCTCAGATGGTTAAGCGTCTGCCTTCGGCTCAGGTCATGATCCCAGGGTCCTGGGATCGAGTCCCGCATCGGGCTCCCTGCTCCTTGGGAGCCTGCTTCTCCCTCTGCTTCTCTCTCTCTCTCTCTCTCTCTGTCATGAATAAATAAATAAAATCTTTAAAAAAAAAAAGAAAAGAAAATGGTTTGGCAGGGGCTTTGTGGAGGAGTGGTCTTTGAACTGGGGCCTCGAAGGGAAAAGTTGATGAGAGAGAAGAGAGTTTGGGCTTAAGGAATAACAAAGGTATAGAAACCTGAATGTACGTACTGTATTTTTAGAGTACAGGGGGAGGCTGGTATGGCTGGCACTGAAGTTTCTTGGGGAATTACAGTTGCAGATGAAAGTGTAAAACTGGGGTCCAGATGATGGAGACTTTGAGTGCTGTGCTTAAGTATACATATTATATGCGAACAGGTGCTGTGGCAGAGCTGAGGTGTGGATTCAGTTGTCTGACTACCAGTCACATATTCAAACATGCATCTACCATGTCCCTACTCTTATCAGCATGTCCTAATCATCTCATGTATCTTTTTTTTTTAAGATTTTATTTATTTATTTAATTGACAGACAGAGAGAGACACGGCGTGAGAGGGAACATAAGCAGGGGGAGTGGGAGAGTGAGAAGCAGGCCTCTGGCCGAGCAGGGAGGGAGCCCAATGCGGGACTCGATCCTGGGACTCCAGGATCCTGACTCGAGCCGAAGGCAGTCGCTTAACCAACTGAGCCACCCAGGCGCCCCTGATCTCACATATCTAAGTAAACACAGTGCTCCTACCTATGCTCTCTTAAGTGACTCCTTTCTCTGCAGCTGTGAGAACTAACCACTGCAGAATATCCTGGGGCCCTCAGAGTTTTCATTAAACTTGGGATGATGCTTTGTTAGAGTCAAGGAGCACATGGTGCTGGACACTGGTTTCCCCAACAAGTCTGCAAGGGAGATGTCAGGCAAGATCATCTCTCCATTCAGTCTGAGGCAAAGAGGTAGTAAGAAGTTCCTAGAGATCATGCAGTTGGATTCAGTATTTATTAAACAACCACACAATGCAAATCACTTTTCTTCCTATCCAGTTTATTTCATTTCGCGGATACTTATTAAGTAATTCACAAATGACAGAGCACTTGGTGAAGTGCAATGGCTGGTTGCAAAGAAAAGAGATGATTCCTACTTTCTAGGAGCTTACTGTTTGGCATGGAACTAGTGGTGTGCTGTAAATCAGTTCTCCAGGAAAAAAAAAATACCCTGACCTCTAGTGCTTGCCAGTTTCTGTGGTGTATATACTCCCAGCATCACTGATTTCAAGCTAACAATTTGATGTCACTAAACTCAGAGCTGGGAAGAGATGTGCACAATTGGTTCTCAAGAGCAGGCTCCAAGGCGCCTGGGTGGGTCAGTTGGTTAAGTGTCTGCCTTCGGTTCAGGTCATGATCCCAGGGTCCAGTACAGCACTGGGTGAATCACATATCCTAAGAAAGCCTAAATCAGCAAGTGAGTCCTAAGGCATTTCTGGAAAGATCAGAGCCTAGGTCAGCCCCTTCCCACAGTTCCTATCCTTTTCAGAGGACCACGATCTTGGAATTGGTAGTCATAATTATCTTGGTGTTCCTTTCCTATGATTGCCATCTTTTCAAACCAGACCAAGTCACTGGTGCTTCTTGTTTCTGACAGCAGCCCAGCTATCTGACTTCATGTGAAAGATGGCTAATGCGGAAGTGAGTGTTCCAGTGGGGGATGTGGTTGTGGTACCCACTGAAGGAAATGAAGGGGAGAACCCTGAAGACACTAAAACCCAAGTGATCTTGCAGTTACAGCCTGTGCAACAAGGGTAAGTGACTAGAGATTTGGATCTTCTGAAAAATTGGGGAGGTTTAAAGATAGTGGGGAAATTATAACTGTATGCTTAGTACAAGGGAACATTCACCATCAATCTCTCAGAGCTGGCTAAGTTTTCATCTTTATAAAGTACTATGTGCTATATTTGTCATCGTAATACTTATTACAACAGTTAACTGTGTCCTTGTCTCTTTCCCTCTTCACTGTAAGCTCTTTGAGGGTAAGTTACATGGCTCCCTCCTCTTATTGATCCATACTGTTTAGCACAGGGCCTTAGTACATGTTTACTGAAAGACAGTGTAGTTAGAGTCAGAAGAGATTAGGTAAGGCACCTACGAAAGTTTTCCTGCCAGAAGTGGTCTGGACCCTAAGGGATGGGCAAATTAATCAAGCTTAGTTTATTAAAAAAATACATATCAATGACCTACTATTTTATAATGTATTACAAAGTGTTGGAAGAAATATAGCACACGGTTCCCACCATCATGGAGCTTGTAGTCTGGTTGTGCAAACCAAAAATACATATATGTAAATAAAGAGGTCACTTACATGGCAAAATCTAAGAAGTACTGAGTGTCGTGGTTAGGAAGTAGCTTGAATTCAGAGGATCACTATGAATTTGAACGAAGAGATAAGATTTTTTAATTGGTCTTGAAGTTTAAATAAGACATATCTACAGAGAGAAGGAAGGGGTAGTTATTTTATCTTGAGGAATATATAAAAGATTCTTCATAAGATTAGAAATGTTCTCGGGGCATCTGGCTGACTCAGTGGAGCATGTGACTCTTGATCTCAGGGTTGTGAGTTTGGGCCCCATGTTGGGTGTAAAATTACTTAAAGAAACAAAGGGGGTGCCTGGGTGGCTCAGTTGGTTAAGCATCCAACTCCTGATTTCAGCTCAGGTCTTGATCTCAGGGTTGTGAGCTTAAGCCCCACATTGGGCTCCACACCCAGCGTGGAGCCTACTTAAAAAAAAAAAAAAAAAAGAGAGGAAGAAAAAAAAATGTTCTTGGGCAAACACATAATCCATTCTCAATCTACTAAGTAACATACCTTGTCTTAAACACTTATGGAGAAAGACAGTCAAGATCTCTTGGTAACTTAAACTTTTTAGTATAGGAAATTTCAAATATACCCCCAGATTTTTAAAAAATAATATAATGAACCCCCATGTACAGACCCATCACCCAACTTCAACAATTATCAGCACATGGCCAGTCTTATTTCATCTTTACATCCACCCACTTCTGAATTTTTTGAAGCAAATCCCAGACATTAGTATGTATCTTGCAAAAGTAAGGACTTTTTAGTTTTTAAAATATAACCATAGTTTGCTGACATTTCTGAATATTGAAGGAAATATTCTAAGATCTGTAAGAGGGGCCCCTGGGTGGCTCAGCTGTTAAGCATCTGCCTTTGGCTTGGGTCGTGATCCCAGGGTCCTGGGATTGAGCCCCATATCGGGCTCCCTACTCAACAGGAGCCTGTTTCTCCCTCTCACGCTCCCCCTGCTTGTGTTCCCTCTCTCACTGTCTCTCTGTCAAATAAATAAATAAAATCTTAAAAAAAAAATCTAGCGGTGCCTAGGTGGCTCAGTCATTAAGCATCTGCCTTCAGTTCAGGTCATGATCCCGGGGTCCTGGGATCGAGCCCCACTTCGGGCTCCCTGCTCAGCGGGAAGCCTGCTTCTCCCTCTCCCACTCCCCATGCTTAAGTTCCTGCTCTCGCTCGCTCTCTCTCTCTGTCTCTCTGTCAAATAAATAAATAAATAATCTTTAAAAAAATCTATAAAAAAATAAGATCTGTAAAGGAAAGTTAATAAAAGTACTGATGGGATGCCGGGCTGGCTCAGTTGGACTGTGTGACTCTTGATCTTGGGGTTGTGAGTTTGAGTCCCATGTTGGGTATAGAGATTACTTAAAAAAATAATAAGATCTTAAGAAAAAATAATTACTGACATATAGTGGAGAGAGTGATTAGAATTTTTATTTGCCCCAAAAGTTTATGCTTGTTTATTCAGATTCACTTGTTCGGGAACTTCATTTGTTACATACACACATATTTGCAGTTATTACCCTTTGAGGAAGGGTAATGAGGAAGAATTAAAGAGTAGATTCTTTGGTGCATGGCAGCTTTATTTTCTCTTGGAATCATTGTTTCTTCTTTCTTTCCTAAAGTGCTCCAATTGTCATTTATCCTATCCCTCCTAGAGACAGAAAACACTTCTCAACTACTTAGAGACTTAATTATTTTGAAGATTAGTTCCACTTATTTTGTGTGTGTGTCTTTTTTTATTTTCCAAATGACATTGCTTTTTCTGGAAGCCTCTCATTGCTTGATTAGATTATAGGCATCTTTGTACAACGTTGACTCCCCAACCTACTGTTTACACTGAATTTGCCATATGAGCTAGTGAATACATTTTCAAGTACTGAATTCTGAGATATCTGCCAATCAATGCTCAGTCGATTTCTCTAGTTGTATTTTATTTTATTTATTTTTTAAATCATTTATTTATTTATTTATTTATTTATTTATTTAGAGAGGGAGCGTATGTTCAGGGGGGAGGGGCAGAGGAAGAGAAAGAGATAATCTCAAACAGGCTGCACACTTAGCATGGAGCCTGACATGGGGCTCAGTCTCATGACCCTGAGATCATGACCTGAACTGAAATCAAGAGTTGGACACATAACTGACTGAGCCACCCAGGCACCCCAGGAAATTTTTTCTTGATAAAACCTTGTTTATAGACTGTGCCCCTACTTCCCACTGCAAGTGCAATTTACTGGTTGTTGAAATTATGTATAAATAAGAATTTCTTCTTTTAAACGATTTTGCATATATTGGTCAATTTACAATGAGTTTACTGAACTTACTTGAAGTAGTGGTTTCTCATGTTTATCAGAATCCTCATTCACTGACCAACAACTTAGGTACTTCGCCATGTTCTAGTTAGTATTCGATACACTAGACATACAAAATTGAACAAATAAATAGGACATAATTGCTGTTCTCAGGAGCCTCTTGGACTATGCCCAAGGGGAGGCAGACAGCTAAACAAACATATAATATTAAGTGTTATATTTGTTGTGACAAAAGCCTAAAGTACAGTTGGGTCACAAAGGAGGAAGTAGATGATTATACTGGAGGGATTGATGTGGACAGAAAAGCATCATAGAGGCTACTCTTTATTAAAAAACAAATAGAGGGGCACCTGGTTGGCTTAGTCAATAGAGCATGCAACTCTTGCTCCTGGGATTGTAAATTCAAGCTACATATTGGGTGTAGAGATTACTTAAAAATAAAATCTTAAAAACAAACAAACAGGGGCGCCTGGGTGGCTCAGTTGGTTAGTTGTCTGTCTTTGGCTCAGGTCATGATCCCGGGGTCCTGGGATCGAGCCCCGCATTGGGCTCCTGCTTCTCCCTCTCCTTCTGCCCCGCCCCCCCACCTTGTGCTTGTGTGTGCGCCTGCGCTCTCTCTCTAGCGTGCTCTCTCTCAAATAAATAAATAAAATCTTTAAAAAACAAACAGATGGAGAAGGATATTCTGGGGAAGGGGGGAAGTAAGAGCAAAGAGGGAAGGTATAAAAGAAGATGTCGGTTCTGGGAACCACAAATAATTTGGTATGACTAGGGCTTGGATTATAAGGTGAGGTTTAGGGAGAGTTGAAACCAGGGGTCAGATCTTGGAGCAACTTAAATATCCTATTAAGGATTTGGGGGCTTTATTGTAACAGTAAGTAGAGGGTTCTTGAGGGTTTTAAGGAGGGATTGACGCGATCACTTCAGTAGGAGTATAGAAGATCAGGTAGATGCAAGGCGACTAGTTCAGACTAGAGATGATAACAGCCTGAATTAAGGCAGTAGCAGTGGAAAAAGAGACAGGGAGCCTGGCTCATGTTAAGGAGATACATCTGATAGGATTTGGTGGCTGAGTATGTGGGAGTTGAGGAGGAGGAAGAGGGAGAAATCTGATGTAATTTCCAGGCTTCTGTCTTAGGCTGTAGAGTGCTAGTGGTGCCATTAACAAGGATAGGAAATATAAGAAGAGTGGTTTGGGAGAGGGAAGAGAACTTGGTTATTTTAGACATAATGAATTCAACAAAGTCCTATGGGACATCCAAATGCATTTGTTCATTTAGCCAGTTAACTGTATCCTGGTGTGAAATTCAGAGGAGAGGTCTGTGCTAGAGGTGTCACCATGGGGGTGGGTGATACAAGGGATATTATTCAAGCAGTGCTTTCAAATAACAAGATGCAGGGGCGCCTGGGTGGCTCAGTCAGTTAAGTATCTGCCTTGGGCTCAGGTCATGATCCCAGGGTCCTGGGATGGAGCCCCACACCGGGCTCTCTGCTTGGTGGGGAGTCTGCTTCTCCCTCTCCCTCTCCCTCTGTGCTCTTTCTCTCTCTCTCTCTCAAATAAACAAATAAAATCTTTTTTAAAAAAGATGCAAAGGTTAATACATTATTTTTATTATAGAAATTAAAGGTTGCTAGTGTATTTTATCTGAGCCCTTTTCTTAGAAGGTGGAAACCTTTTATTTATTTAATTTTTTTGAGACGGAGGGGGGATGGAGAACAGGAGGGTGAGAGTTTTTTTTTTGTTTTTTTTTTTTATTTGAGAGAGAGAGAATGAGAGATAGAGAGCATGAGAGGGAAGAGGGTCAGAGGGAGTCCCCGGATGTGGGACTCGATCCCGGGACTCCAGGATCATGACCCGAGCCGAAGGCAGTCGCCTAACCAACTGAGCCACCCAGGCACCCGAGAGTGAGAGATTCTTAAGCAGGCTCCCACACCCAGTGCAGAGCCTGACACAGGGCTCAATCTCAGGACCCTGAGATCGTGACCTGAACTGAAACCAAGAATCTGATGCTTAACCGACTAAGCCACCCAGGCACCACAGAAGGTAGAAACATTTTAGAGAGACTTTCACTAAGTGATACTTCTAATTAATGCTGGTTACTTTGGGCATAGTCTCTCTCTCTCTCTCTCTCTTTTTTTTTACTAGGCTCTGTTCATGTCAATAGTTTGGTTATATGATGCTTTGAAAAATGCTAAAGTGCTAAAAAAGACTAAAGTATCTAGATTCCAACAAAAGACATCAGCTTCTATGGTCAATGGTCTGTTTGTTTGTTTGTTTTAAGATTTTATTTATTATTTATTTGACAGCGAGAGAGGAAGCAGCAGGCAGAGGGAGAGGGAGAAGCAGGCTCCCCGCTGAGCAAGGAGCCCCACTCAGGGCTCGATTCTAGGGTCCTGGGATCACGACCTGAGTAGAAGACAGATGCTTAACCGACTGAGCCACCCAGGTGCCCCGGGTTCTTCCTGTCTTGAATTGTCCAACAGTATTACTTTTTAGTCTTCTTAGGATAATTTTATAATTTAATCTTATACTTGAAGCAACATTTTATGTCATAAGCATTTAAAGTTATGAAGGGAAAAGTCTGGTGTGAAACAGTGGTGATGTAAAGACAGTAGCAAGAGGAACTTTCCTTGGAGGCGAGGAAAGTTGTTGATTCATGTCCAAAGTAGAAGCTACTAAGCAGTCCTGGGCAGCTTGGAGTTTAAATATAATGGGGAACTAGTCAGAGCACTAACATAGAGTTGTAAAGTATATTTATTTTATTCCTTTTGAGATAGATTATAACAAATTTCTTAACCCCATGCTGTGAATATTAATTTTTTCATGATTTATGTAGTTTGTTTATCGATGGACACTTTTACAACAGGATTTATGAACCTGGGTCCGAGAACAACACGGCAGTTGTGGCAGTAGAAACTCACACAATTCACAAAATTGAAGAAGGGATTGGTAAGTCTTTTTGTTATTCTAGTATCTTTGACCTTAGCTTCCTTGGTTGAGATTTCTTGCCTTTTGTTTCTTATATTTTTACCCCCTACCCAGTGTGCCCTACCAATGCTACAGCCATCAGTTTGATGGTGGTGCATCGAGAGACACCACTGACAAATGCTAGGCTCATCAGTTGATTATTTAACATCAGTTTGCTAGGGTACTGAAAAGATATTTTATCTACAAAAATTCCACAAAGAAATTAGAGCCTCAAGGTTGATCCTGTCATTAGGGAAGTTGCTGATTAGGACTTACGAGGTGTTGATTGGAAGGCAGTCAGTGGAAAGAAACTGAAAAAAAAAGTTTGAAGTTAGACAAACCTGAGTTTAAATCCTACTTGCTCACTTCTTAGCTGTGTGTCCTTGGGAAAGTCCCTTCACCTTTCCAAGTCCCACCTGCATACATTGGGAACAATCATTGCCTCACAGGATTGTTGGAAGAACTAAATAAGATTAAGCATGTAAAAGCACATAGGACAGTGTCTGGCACATAGTGTGGGCTTGGTAAGAGAGCTGTTATGCCAAACTTTTCCAGAAGACTCCAAAACAATACCAGCCAATGTGAACTGTTAGCTTCTTAGAGGAACCAAGAGACTAGAGATTTTGAATTAAGCTTTTGGGGAAAAGCATTCGATAAATAACTGATATTTTTTCCATTTTCAGATGCAAGCACTATAGAAGCAAATGAGGATATGGAAATTGCTTACCCCATAACTTGTGGGGAGAGCAAAGCCATTCTCCTCTGGAAGAAGTTTGTATGTCCAGGAATAAATGTGAAGTGTGTCAAGGTAATTGTCTTTTCTCCTTACTGGGGCCTGTTTGGGGGCTCCTTGTTTTCAAAGAGTATAGTTTCAGTGCCTCTTCTCTCTTATCTACCATATCAGTGTTTTCAATATTGTGGCTCTAGTCCCTATGGTGTCACAGAAAAAAAATAAGGACTTTGGAGTGAAATTGGCCTGGATTCAAGTCCCACGCAGAATACAAGTTCTAGGAGAGCTGAGAACTTGTTTGTCTTGTTCACCAGTGTATCCCCAACACCCAGAATGATGCTTGGCATATTTATCTATAAATGTTTGTTGAATGAATGAATGGAGTCCCATCTCTATGACTGGGTGACCTTGAACAAATTAATATTTCAGAGGCTCATATGTTAAAATATGAATAATCACATACACTGTCAGGTTGCGAGCAGATAAAATGAGATAATATATGTAAAATGCCTTATAGAAGTGTGCATTATAGTAGTTTATTGAAAATTATTACTGATAAAAATAAATTCTCATGAGAGCACAAAGTGGAAATAATTGCTTAAGCTTTTGTCTCAATTGGTAGCCACAGCTGTACCCATAGATAGTAGTCACTATCAGTGGCATCATCCTAGAATCATGAAGGATTACAGAGTTTTGAGGTTCTGCAGTGATAGTGGTTTCTATGGTACTTATTCTTTCCACCACATCCTGAATCTTGTCATTAGGTCTGGGTAGGTTACTTCAGTTTATTTAAACAGCCTTTGCAACATTGAACCCACATATTATTCCTGATTTAGGGCATAAATGGACTTCAGATGCTAATCAGTATATTAATCTCTGATCCTCCTCCTGTCTTCTGTAGCTCTGTACCAGGACAGGGCACTGTGCCCAGAGAAGGATCATCTTCTCTGGCACAGCAGGGCAGGAGGCTGGAAGATACAAGGCTATGACTTAAAATGCCATCTGGGTATTTTTTCATACGTAACAAGTGGAGTTACCTTTCTCTCTCTTGGCCTGCCTAAGCTGACCTTGAGTGATTTTGGACTTTTCTTTTTACCTTAGTTCAATGATCAGTTGATCAGCCCCAAGCATTTTGTTCATCTGGCTGGCAAGTCCACCCTAAAGGACTGGAAGAGAGCCATTCGTCTGGGTGGAATCATGCTCAGGTGAGCTTTAATAACAAGCACACACCAGGGCTCAGTTGGAAGAGCATGCAACTCTTGATCTCAGAGCCCCACATTGAATGTAGAGATTACTAAAAAAAAAAGAAAGAAAGAAAAAGAAAACAAGCACATACCTTTTGTTCTGTTTTTTTTTTTAATTTTTTTTAAATTTTTTTTTTTTAAGATTTTATTTATTTATTTGAGAGAGAGAGAGAGAATGAGAGAGCACGAGAGGGAAGAGGGTCAGAGGGAGAAGCAGACTCCCCGCCGAGCAGGGAGCCCGACGCGGGACTCGATCCCGGGACCCCAGGATCATGACCTGAGCCGAAGGCAGTCGCTTAACCAACTGAGCCACCCAGGCGCCCTCTGTTTTGTTTTTTAAAAGATTTATTTATTGGGGGCCTGGGTGGCTCAGTCATTAAGCGTCTGCCTTCGGCTCAGGTCGTGATCCCAGGGTTCTGGGATCGAGCCCCGCGTTGGACTCCCTGCTCAGCGGGAAGCCTGCTTCTCCCTCTCCCTCTGCCTGCAGCTCCCCCTACTTGTACTGTTTCTCGCTCTCTCTCTCTGTCAATAAATAAATAAAATCTTAAAAAAAAAAGATTTATTTATTTTAGAGAGTGCGGGGTGGGGGAGGGAAGGACGTCTTTTTTTTTTTTTTTTTTTTTTAAGATTTACTTGTTTATTTTAGAGAGAGAGAGCACGAGCAGGAGGGGCAGAGGCAGAGGGAGACAGAATCTCAGCCAGACTCTGTGCTGAGGAAGGAGCCTCTTGAGGGGTTTGGTCTCATGATCCTGAGGTCACGACCTGAGCTGAAACCAAGAGTCAGATGCTTAACCTACTTTACCATCCAGGCACCCGTGGAAAGAGAACCTTTAGCAGACTCTGCAAGGAGTGTGGAGCCGGCTGTGGGGCTCGATCTCACAACCCTGAAATCATGACCTGAGCCAAAATCAAGCTGAAACCAAGAGTCTAAATTAACTCTTCCCAGCATCTGGGGCAAATTTTTTCTGATGTCAGGATGTTAGGATCCTTTCTGAGCAGAGAAGCTCAGGAGTAGATGACAATCGTACTTGAGATCACCAAGCACAGGCAGGGCTAAACCTGGTGCTGAGGAAGCGTGCCGACCTCGGAGAAGCGTAGGCTACTGACAAGTTCTGTGATAATCTGGTAAATAGAGACTGCTGTTGATAAGTAACAATCATATTCAGTGAATGCAATTCTTGCCATCATTGTACCACAGAAATAAACTTCAGAATGTGTAATACCCGGGTGCCTGGGTGGCTCAGTTGGTTAAGCAACTGCCTTCAGCTCAGGCCATGATCCTGGAGTCCTGGGATCGAGTCCCACATCAGGCTCCCTGCTCAGCAGGGAGTCTGCTTCTCCCTCTGACCCTCCCCTCTCTCATGTGCTCTTCTCTATCTCTCATTCTCTCTCTCTCAAATAAATAAATAAAATCTTTAAAAAAAAAATGTATGATACCCTCACCCCCATCTTTATGCAGCAAGCTTATTATTGTAATTCCACCCCCGCCATGAAGATTAACATTAATTGGTATTTCTTGAGCACTCACCTATTGATGGATTTTAAAATGTGGTCAGGAATGGAAAGTTCCTCACAGAACATGCATCAACAGCCTTAAGAACATCTTACCCATTATCTTTAATTCTTTTTAAGGAATCTGTCCTAAGAAAAATAGAAATATGTAGCACTATAAATAGCACTATAGGTAGTGCTTGTAGAGATTCAGGCATAAAGATGTTTACTGCAACATTATTGAAAATTATAGTCAGCTTTAGGGGCACCTGGGTGGCTGAGTCAGTTAAGCATCTGCATTCAGCTCAGGTCCTGATCCCAGGGCATCAGGCTCCCTTCTCAGCGGGGAGCCTGCTTCTCCCTCTCCCTCTGCCCCTGCCTCCATTTGTGCTTGCTCTCTGTCTCTCAAATAAATAAATATCTTTAAAAAAAAATGTTGTTTTGAAGTTTGATTAGTGAGAACATGTTTGTTTCTTTTCTAAGATTTTATTTATTTGATAGAGAGCAGGAGAACCCAAGTAAAGATTTAAATAAAATCTTAAAAAAAAAAAAAACAGACACACACATATGTACACAAAATTTAATAGAAGAAAATATCTCAAAATGTTAATGTTATCTTTGTGTTGTTGGATTTTTTATTTTTTATTTTATTTTAAGATTTTATTTATTTATTTGACAGAGAGACAGAGACAGCGAGAGAGGGAACACAAGCAGGGGGAGTGGGAGAGGGAGAAGCAGGCTTCCCGCGGAGCAGGGAGCCCGATGCGGGGCTCGATCCCAGGACCCTGGGACCATGACCTGAGCCGAAGGCAGATGCTCAACAACTGAGCCACCCAGGCGCCTCTGTTGGATTTTTTAAAAAGCAGTTGTTTTCTTTATAGTTTTCTGTATTTTCCACAGAAAATATTAATTTTTTCTTCACATATTATTTTAATAAAGAGACACATTTAAAAAAAGAAGTTATTCCAGATGATTTGTATACAGAAATCAGTAGTTAAATAAAATTGGGAAAGAATACTTTTAACTTCCATTATTGTTGTTCTTGGCCCGTCCTTTTTGCCCAGAAAAACAAGCACATGCCAACTTTCCTCAAATGTAAGAAGGAATCAGAATGCCTAAAAGATCTTTAGTGAAAGTCAAGTAACGTTATAACATAGAGTTTACTCTAACTAAAATACCCCATGGTTTTGCTTATGGCCTGTAATAACAATGTCTTGTGAATCCAGTTATAAGGGCATTTTATAGTGGGGGTTTAGTATAATCAACTTTGCACTGTATTTATAGGAGACTTTTTTTTTTTTTTTAAGGAAAGAAATGTGCTGAAGTTGTATGTCTCCAAAAGTGGCAACAGATCTTGCTGGTCTAGGAATACTAATACATCAGAATCTCATCATAAAATTCTTATTCCCTACAGCATTTCTCAGTTGTGCTGGGATATATGAACTAGTCTTTTCCCCTTTTGGGTTTAGTTTCAATGAGATTCTATGGGGATACTCAGATGTTGTCAGGAGTATATCCCTACCTAAAGCTTGGTGATAACGGAAAATGAGAGAGTACTCATAATGAGCAGACTGCGGAGGGAATAGGAGTACTTGTAAATGTGGGCAGGGCCAATGAAAATTTTGTAATCCCAGTTAGAATTTTTGCAGCCTAATGACTTTAAATGCCATTAGGTTTCACTATCTATGGAGTAGATGCAGCAACTTTGTTTCTGTTTGTCCCCAAGGCCTAGTTCCATCTAGATGTAGTGCAGGCTGAACTGGTACTTTTTGTCTCCCTTTACACAGGAAAATGATGGACTCTGGACAGATTGATTTTTACCAACATGACAAGGTTTGCTCCAATACCTGCAGAAGCACCAAATTTGATCTTCTGATCAGCAGTGCAAGAGCTCCAGTGCCAGGACAGCAGACAAGTGTGGTGCAGACACCCACTTCGGCCGATGGTAGGGGGTAGGAAACCACCTGAAAACCCAGTGTTTTTTAGTAACACTTTTCCCCTTACTTCTCTTTTGTGTTTCTTAATTTTAATTCTCATGAGCATTGAAGTCCCTGTAAGGTATGCTAACCTTGGGTGTGATTCTGTACTTTAGAAACAGATCTCTTTTGTTTTCTCCCAGATGATTCCTATTGGCCATACCTCCTTCCTTGTTTCTTTCTAAGTATGCATAAGAAACATTAGAAAGATGGTTCAGGGGCGCCTGGGTGGCTCGCTCAGTTAAGCGTCCCACTCTTGATTTCGACTCAGGTCACCCTCTCAGGGTCGTGAGATTGAGCCCCCCGTCAGGCCCCGTGCTGGGTGTGGAGTCTACTTAAGATTCTCTCTCCTCCTTTCCCTCTGCCCCTCCCCCCATGCACACACTCTCTCTCTCAAGAAAGGAAAGAAAAGAAAAAGAAAGATGATTCAGTGGTTATTATGTTTATTCAATGGTCTCACTTTGGTGCCACTTGGCATATCTTTGAAATTAGATTGTTTTGAAAAATCCTTTGCCCTACGGGTGGTCAGGCAGGAAGTAGAATGGTGAATGGTTTTCAACTGTTGAGCTGAGATGTACCAAAGATAATGTATGGTTGGCTGGACTGTGCTCTGGAGACTCTGCTGCTGTAAGGATCAAAGAGTCCTGCCTGGAAGGGATCCACATAACCAAGTTGAGGTTTCCTCACCAATGAGGCAGGATGGGCATATGCTTAACTTGTATTGTTGACCTCAGGACTAGAGCTCTTTGCTCTTTTCTAGGAAAGATGGAGCCAGGTGAGATGATTATTAAGGATTCAGTTAGTCCAGGGGAACCTGGCTGGCTCAGTCGGAAGAGCATGTGACTCTTGTTCTTGAAGTCATGAGTTCAAGCCCCACACTGGGTGTAGAGATTACTTAAACAAGCAAACAAACAAACAAAATTAAAAAAAAAAAAAAAAATTCAAAAAAAAAAATAAAATAAAAAAAAAAAGATTCAGTTAGTCCAGTTAAGATTCTTGTCTCAACTACTTCCAGAAGACTTAAAAATATGCCTGACAGAATTAGAAAGATACTAACGGATGTAAGGGAAGTACCTGTTTTAAAACTGACCTCTCAAGGTTTCTTTTGGTCAGCCCTAATATTCCGTGAGTAACCACTGGGTAAGTAGAAGTCAGATCTCTTATTTTTATTTTATTTTATTTTTTTAAAGATTTTATTTATTAGAGAGAGAATGAGAGATAGAGAGCACGAGAGGGAAGAGGGTCAGAGGGAGAAGCAGACCCCCCGCCGAGCAGGGAGCCCGATGTGGGACTCGATCCCGGGACTCCAGGATCATGACCTGAGCCGAAGGCAGTCGCTTAACCAACTGAGCCACCCAGGTGCCCCAAGAAGTCAAATCTCTTAGAACCTAAGTTCCCTACAGGAAAGTATAAAATATCTAGCAGTTTGAATTTTTGGTTTTTGGTCATGTGAGTCTTTCACTTGAAAAGTAAAAAATGCTATAAAATTATTTACTTTTTATTTGGCCAAAACTCCTTTAGTTGACTGTCCATATCAATATTACTTTTTTGATTGATTATTAATATTCTCCAGCATGTGGAGTCCATACTTGTCTATATCTCTGTCTGGATCAGTTTGATTTTTCTCCATTTTCTTTGTTTAGGATCTAACCCCCCCCCCAAAGATTTTGTTTATTTGACACAGAGAGATAGAGCACAGGAGGGGGAGTGGCAGGCAGAGGCAAAGGGAGAAGCAGGCTTTCTGCTGAGCAGGGAGCCCAATGTGGGACTCAATCCCAGGACCCTAGGATCATGACCTGAGCCAAAGGAAGACACTTAACTGACTGAGCCACCCAGGCGCCCCTGTTTAAAATCTTAATATACGAGGGGTTTCTGGCTGGTTCAGACAGAAGAGCATGTGACTCAGGGTCATGAGTTTGAGCCCCATGTTGGGTGGAGAGATTACTTAAAAAAAATCAAATCAAATCAAATCTTAATATACAATGTTAATAGCAAATGTTCTTTTCCTCTGTGAATCTGCTATTCATGGATCTCTTCTTATCTGATTTTTTTGGTCTCATTTCTCTTGCTTTCTCTTACATAGCCTGATAAATAAGCTATAGCAACTTCTGATATTCTAGATGGTTAGTATCAAATATGCTTGTAGTAGGGCTCTTGGCTAAGCACCATACTTTTCTCTTAAATTTTTCAGGTCCTCCTCATCCTCACTAAGTCTGGGGCAGATAGCCCGGCAATCATGCTCACCTTCAGTCTTTTTAAAAAACATACCTGCTTAGGAAGCAGATTGCTCTTTTGTGATTTTATAAGTTATCTTTCCCTTTCTATTCAGAGTAAGAAGAAAGCATTTTCTTTTGAAAGGCAGGTTTTCTTTAGAAAATCCAGTATTCATCCTGGCTTACCAAGGATTCTAGTTTTTACTATATGGACCTTAAAATAACAGGGTCTCTTTGGCTGTATGAGATAAAGGATAGCTATGACTTTTTCATGGAATTCACCAGCTTTACCTCTAATGAACCGCTTTTAGGTAGCATCACACAGATTGCCATCTCAGAAGAGAGCATGGAAGAGGCAGGGCTGGAATGGAACTCCGCTCTCACTGCTGCTGTCACCATGGCTACAGAGGAGGGTGTGAAGAAAGACTCAGAGGAAATTTCAGGTACTTTTCTATGAGGCTCAGATATCTTGCAGGGTCTTGTGACCCTTCTCACTGTTATGATTATGGACACAGAAGGTCTCTTAATTAGTTTTGCTGGTTTTTCTCATGCATGTTAATGATAATTGTAGCTGCAAACATTTTATTTTCATCCATGCAACAACAGCCATGCACAGTCACATTTTGCACGGGAAGAAATTGAGATTCAAAAAGATTCAGCAGCTTGCCTCAGACCAGCCACACAGCCAATAATGTCAGAGCCGAATTCAGCCGTTTGACTCTGTAGTCAGTGCTTTTCATTCTGTCAAACTGTCCCCAACTTTGGAACGTTTCTTAGATAAACCAGGCTGCAAGATGTTAAAAGGAAAAACTAGGCAGCAGGTGGTATAGAGGATGGTGACTAATGATGATTCACTTAGAGGGGACCGGGGGGGTTTCACGTCATCCTCCATTCATTAATTCACTTGAAAAATATTTATTGCTGCCTATTTTTAGTTGGCCTGTTGCCAGCACAGATGAAAAGACAAAGCCTCTGGCCTCAGAGAGCTTATCATCCCACCTATTCAGCTGTATTATTTTATTTTGTAAGTATAGGACTAGAGGGAGTATAGTTGACCCTTGAACAACGTGGTGGTTTGGGGCACCAACCTCCTGTGCAGGGGAAAACCCCTGTGTAACTTGACTCCCCTGCCCCCCCCACTTAACTATAAGCCTTACCAATAACATAGTTGATTAACATATTTTATATATTATATATATTATATACTGTATTCTTACAATAAAGTAAACTAGAGAAAAGAAAATGTTATTAAGAAAATCATAAAAAATTTTTTTAATTTAAAAAATACAGTACATCGCTGTACTGTATTTATTGAAAAAAATCTGTATATAAGTGGACCCTCAGAGTTCACACCACGTTGTACAAGGCTCGCCTATATATCTTTAATATCTTTAACTTTTAAGATATTAAATACTATTTAATTTTAAATTTTTAAAATAAATAATAGTTAATATTTATTTAATATCTTTATTAGAGGAAGATAACCTGCTCCCTATAGCCAGAGCTATGACAAATTGAGGCAATTATCTCAAGTCCCTATGTTGCTGAAGAGGGCAAATAATTGGGTACCAACTCAGGGGGGTAGCTAATATTCCAAAAACTTCTTCCTTTTTCCCAGAAATGGCCCAACAAGAAATCATTTCAAATTGAAATAATTTTGATTTTAGCTTGTAGAGATTTGCCTAAGTATGTGTAGCATCCCTTGTTTATCTTCTGTCTTATCCCTCTTGTGTCAGAGGACACTTTGATGTTCTGGAAAGGAATAGCTGATGTAGGGCTGATGGAAGAGGTTGTCTGCAATATCCAGAAGGAAATAGAGGAGCTACTCAGGGGAGTTCAGCAGCGGCTCATTCAGGCTCCCTTCCAGGTCACAGGTAAGTGCACTAATTTTGACAACAGTAGTCATTTTACTGAACACTAACAACTGTAGGCAGATCCTGTTAGTGTCATGAAAACACTGGGGTATAAGTATTATTATCCCCATTTTACAGATTAGGAAACTAAGGCTTATAAAAGTTAAGTTACGTGTCCATAGTTCATAATAAGGTTTTGAACTCAGGTCTGGTCATGCTTTTCCACAGGTAATTTTTGCCTTTATAAATGGTGCCAGAAAGCAGGCTGTCTCTTATGTATAGATAGATAGAATCTGAAAATTGGAGAAAGTTACCTGGTTTTAGACAAGTCTCATATTCTATCAGTTTAAGGTTTCCAGAACTATTGTGTGCACTTACAGCTGTTTCTGAATACCCATAGGGTACTTGCTGCTGTGCATAATGTAAAAGGATGTTCTAATCATCTGATACAAAAGGGTTGTGATGATGGGTTTCTGGCTAGCTCAGTTGGTGGAGCATGTGACTCTTAATCTTGGGGTCAGAGTTTGAGCTCCACGTTGGGGGTAGAGTTTACTTAAAAAAATCATAATAAGCATCTGCCTTCAGCTCAGGTCATGATGTCAGTGTCCTGGGATCAAGCCCCACATCAGGCTCCCTGCTTTGCAGAAGCCTGCTTCTCCCTCTGCGGCCCCCGCCATTTGTATTCCCTCTATCGCTGTGTCTCTCTGTGTCAAATAAATAAATAAAATCTTTAAAAAAAAGTCATAATAATATCTCATAAGCTTGTGTGTGAGTTCCTAGATTTGTTACTTGTGTCTTATTACCTCTTTATAATTCATACATTATATAAATACACTTAAACTTTATAGTAGAATCTTTTTTTTATATATTCTTGGGGGAAAAATAGGCAAATAATATAGAAAGCAGGGATGACTTTTATTTTTTTTTAATTTTTTTAAAAAGATTTTATTTATTTGAGAGAGAGAGAATGAGAGATAGAGAGCACGAGAGGGAAGAGGGTCAGAGGGAGAAGCAGACTCCCTGCTGAGCAGGGATCCCTATGTGGGACTCCATCCCGGGACTCCAGGATCATGACCTGAGGCGAAGGCAGTCGCTTAACCAACTGAGCCACCCAGGCGCCCAGGGATGACTCTTTTAGATAGGATGGTCAAGGAAGGCCTCCCTAAGGAGGTGGCATTTAAGCAGAGACCTGAATTGAAGAAGCTAGCCATGTGATGAGCTGGGAGAAGGAACATTTCAGGCGGAAGGAACAAAAACCTTGAAGTTGCAATGGGCCTCATAGGTTCAAAGAATTATAGAAGCTCTGAGGCAGCCACAATGTATTAGGGTATAGGAGAGTGATAGGTGATATAAGGTTGGAGAGGAATAGAGAGGACAGTTTATTTAGTTATTTTTTTAAAAGATTTTATTTATCTGAGAGAGAGAGAAAGCAGGAGCAGGGGGGAGAGGGAGAAGCAGGCTCCCTGCTGAGCTGGGAGCCTGACGTGGGGCTCGATTCCAGGACCCTGGGATCATGACCTGAGCCAAAGGCAGGCGCTTAACCGACTGAACCACCCAGGCACCCTGGAGTCACATACTCTTGTGACTGAGCCAGCCAGGCACCCCTCAAAGTTAGTTTTGACTTGGGGCACCCGGCTGGCTCAGTGGGTGGAGCATGTGACTCGTGATTTCAGGGTCATGAGTTCAAGCTCCATGTTAGGCGTAGAGCTTACTTAAAATAAAAAAGAAAGAAAGAAAAAATTAGTTTTGACTTGCTAAATGATTATGAGGCCTTCAAATGGAGATGTCACTCAGCTAAGGTGGAGGTACGAATCTGGCACGCAGAAAAGAGGTTAGGGCTGGAGATCTGCATCTGGGAGTTCTCAGCATGTACATGTTATTTAAAAGCATGGAACTGGATGAGATGACTGTGGAAGAAAATTGTAGGTAGAGAAGTTGTCTGAGTTAAGGAAGTAATGACCACAACTACTGACAATGCTTGCAAGAAGTTTTGTATAAAGAGGAACAGAGATAACACTATGAATAACATTGCATGCCAGTTCCCATGTTTGACACTTAAAATATGCTATTTTTTAAAAATATTTTATTTATTTATTTGAGAGAGAGAGAGAGCACATGGTGGGGGGAGGGTTAGAGGGAGAAGCAGACTCCCCGCCGAGCAGGGAGCCCGTTGCGGGACTCGATCCCAGGACTCCAGGATCATGAGCTGAGCCGAAGGCAGTCACTTAACCGACTGAGCCACCCAGGCGCCCCTAAAATATGCTATTTCTTTTTAATATTTTATTTATTTATTAGAGAGAGAGCAAGCACAGGGAGGAGTAGAGGGAGAGGGACAAGCAGACTTCACGCCGAGGGCAGAGCCCAATATGGGGCTCGATCTCACAACCCTGAGATCATGACCGGAGCCAAAATCCAGCAGTCACTTAACCGACTGAGCCACCCAGGCGCCCCTAAAATATGCTATTTCTTTTTAATATTTTATTTATTTATTAGAGAGAGAGCAAGCACAGGGAGGAGTAGAGGGAGAGGGACAAGCAGACTTCACGCTGAGGGCAGAGCCCAATGTGGGGCTCGATCTCACAACCCTGAGATCATGACCGGAGCCAAAATCAAGAGTCAGACACTTAACCAACTGAGCCACTCAGGTGCCCCTAAAATATGATATTTCTAATCTTTATGTCTGTCTTGCCGGATAAGTATCATTAGGCCCTTTTGTTTCAGATGAGAAAACTGGAGAATGAAATGACTTACCCGGATTCACACAGATAGGAGGAAACCATAAAACTGAGATTCAAACTTAGCTCTATCTAACACAGTGACCATGTTTTCTAAACCAGAAGTCAGAACTTATAACCAGATGCAAGATTTTTTTAATTTTTATATTTATTTATATGGAAAGATGTATAATGTTATAACAATTAAAGTTGACTTATGCATGTGATAAATCTTTGCCAAAAAAAATTTTTTTTTATCTTTGCCAAAATTTTTAAAAATGCAATTAAAATAGTACCGTCATTTCTGGGTTGTTTCATAATTATACGCAGTACAACAGAGAGCTAGGGAAACACTTTTTTTTTTTTTTTTGGAAACACTTCTGTTTTAACTTGACGGGCATGTCTTTGTTTTAAATAGATGCTGCTGTTCTCAACAATGTAGCACATACATTTGGCCTAATGGACACAGTGAAGAAGGTTTTGGACAACAGAAGGAACCAAGTAGAGCAGGGAGAAGAGCAGTTTCTCTATACTCTGACAGGTGTGTATAACTTGTTTCTTCTTAGGTGATATTATACTAATGTCCTTGAGTCTTGCCATTTCTTTGTGGACTTCTGTTGGGACTGGCTTCCTTCCTTCCTTCCCTCCCTCCCTCCCTCCCTCCCTCCCTCCCTCCCTCCTTCCCTCCCTCCTTCCCTCCCTCCCTCCCTCCCTCCCTCCTTCCCTCCCTCCCTCCTTCCCTCCCTCCCTCCCTCCCTCCTTCCCTCCTTCCCTCCTTCTTTCCCTCCTCATCATGGTCCTCCTTCTGTATCTTTTGGAGGATTAAGATGTCTGCTCAATTTCTCCATTAATCCAGTAATATTAGTGGCAGAAGAAACAAATTGGCCTTTGTTTTTGTTACATTATCGATATTGCATCTTTTTTTTTTTAAGATTTTATTTATTTATTTGACAGAGAGAGAGACAGTGAGAGAGGGAACACAAGCAGAGGGAGTGTGAGAGGGAGAAGCCGCTTCCCGTTGAGCAGGGAGCCCGACGCGGGGCTTGATCCCGAGACCCTGGGATCATGACCTGAGCCGAAGGCAGACGCTTAATGACTGAGCCACTCAGGCGCCCCTGGATCTTTTGATAACTATTAACTTATCACCTTCTCCATTATTTGTGGTAATCAGGAATTATGAGCACATGAATAATTTAACTCTTTTTATCAAGTACTTAATTTGCATTGTCTCCGGGATGCCTGGGTGGCTCAGTTGGTTGGGCGTCTGCCTTCGGCTCAGGTCATGATCCCAGAGTCCTGGGATCAAGTCCCGCATCAGGCTCCTTGCTCAGCAGGGAGCCTGCTTCTCCCTCTCCCTCTGCTGCTCCCCCTGCTTATGCTCTCTCTCTCTGACAAATAAAATCTTAAAAAATTTTTATTCACTGTCTCCAAACTAGGTTGTAAAAATATAATGTTGACTAAGACAGCCTCACTCTCTACATGGTCTTTAAGGAACTCAAGGGAAAGCAGACATAGAAATAAGTGCAAAAAAGAGCGCCTGCGTGGCTCAGTTGGTTAAGCGACTGCCTTCGGCTCAGGTCATGATCCTGGAGTCCCGGGATCGAGTCCCATATTGGGCTCCCTGCTCAGGGGGGGAGTCTGCTTCTCCCTCTGACCCTCTTCCCTCTTGTGCTCTCTGTCTCTCATTCTCTCTCTCTCAAATAAATAAATAAAATCTTTAGGGGCACCTGGGTGGCTCAGTCATTAAGCGTCTGCCTTCGGCTTGGTCATGATCCCAGGGTCCTGGGATTGAGCCCCACATCGGGCTCCGTGCTCGGCAGGAGGCCTGCTTCTTCCCCTCCCCCCCCACTCCCCCTGCTTGTGTTCCTGCTCTCACTATCTCTCTGTCAAATAAATAAATAAAATCTTTAAAAAAAAACTTCGAAAAAAAAAAAAAGAAAGAAGTGCAAAAAGTAGTCAGCTTTGTAACTGAGGCATATATAGTGGGTATGGTGGAAGAACAAAGGGAGTTGTCACTTATACCCAGAGAGAATCAAGAAAAGGCTTTGGGTAAAGCAGGTGAAAAATATAAAATAAGTCAGATTATCAGCTTTGAATGATGTAGAATATATCATAGTTAGTCATGAAGCCAAAAGGCAAGATTATTTGGTAAGAGAAGAACAATTTATGTTGTCTTAAACTTACTTTTATACCCAGTATATATTTTAAACTCATTTACTGAGTACTCTGAGACCCTTTTCATTTGATCCTCCTAAGAATGGTAGAGGCTGGAGTGCCTGGGTGGCTCAGTCGGTTAAGCCTCTGCCTTTGGCTCGGGTCGTGGTCCCGGGGTCCTGGGATTGAGCCCTGCATTGGGCTCCCTGCTCGGCAGGAGGCCTGCTTCTCTCTCTCCCTCTGCCTGCCAGTCTGCCTACCTGTACTCTCTCTCTCTGTGTCAAGTAAATGAGTTAAAAAAAAAAAAAAAAGACTGTTAAAGGCTATTATCCCTACTTTATAGATGAACCAGAGTCATAAAGAGTATAAATGATTTGCCTTGGGGCCACATCAGTACTTGGCAATGAAGCCTGGAATAGAACTTGGCTTTCTTACTCCTAATCCAGTGCTTTCACCTTGAAACTTCACACCATCCAAAAAATGGTTTTTGTTAAGAATGTGGGCTTCTGGTTCTTTGTTCATATTATTTTTTTTAGATAGGTTTAATCATAGTATACATAAAGTTTTGTTTTCTGCTTTTTTTACTGTGACATATTATTATTTTCCCAAGTTGCTACACAGTGCTTTAGCTAGACATTCTTTTAGGGATGACATTTAAATTTTCAAACTTTTCTTTGGTAGCTTATTTTGTTGCAGTGAACTTGTATGAATATAACTTTCTCTTTTTATGTCCTTTTAAACTACTTCCCAGAACTAAGCTTCAAGTTAAATGGTATTGAAAATTGTTTTATGGATTTTTATGACTTGTTGCCAAATTTCCAAGAAGATTCTGTCACCATTTTGAACACACCAACGTTGGATGTTATTATTTATAATATTCTCTGATTTAACTTTTTTTTTTAAGATTTTATTTATTTATTTGACAGAGAGAGACACAGCGAGAGAGGGAACACAAGCAGGAGGAGTGGGAGAGGGAGAAGCAGGCTTCCCACTGAGCAGGGAGCCCAACGCGGGGCTCGATCCCAGGACCCTGGGATCATGACCTGAGCCAAAGGCAGACGCTCAACGACTGAGCCACCCAGGCGCCCCTCTGACTTAACTTTTTAAAAAATTATAGATGTAATTGTTATCTTCTTCAAAGATTTTATTTATTTATGAGAGAGAGAGAGAGTGCACCTGAGAGCATGAGCAGGGGGGAGGGGCAAAGGGAGAAACAGATTCCGGCTGAGCAGGGAGCCTGATGCGGGACTCGATCCCGGGACCCTGTGATCATGACCTGAGCCAAAGGCAGACACTTTTTTTTAAATTAAGGATTTAATTATTTACTTGACACAGAGAGAAAAGGTGAGAGAGAGAACACAAGCAGGGGGAGCGGGAGAGGGAGAAGCAGGCTCCCCGCTGAGCAGGGAGCCTGACACATGGAGCTTGATCCCATGACGCTGGGATCATGACCTGAGCCAAAGGCAGATGCTTAATGACTGAGCCACCCAGACACCCCTGAAGGCAGACACTTAACTAACTGAGCCACTCAGTCTTGAGGTTTTTATTTCTTTGGTTACTACTGGAAATGGAAAAAAATGCAGTATTTTGTAACTTATGAGGCAGTATTTAAAAATTTTTGAATGAAAAAAAATTTTTTTAATGTGTTCTTGATCCCTACCTACTCCTTTTATTCCAGGCAAGGAATTGATTTGCTCTTGGTGTTCCATAGGAGCAAAGTGCTCTGCAGATGTAACTGATTATTTATTGAATGCTTCTCAGGTACTAAGCAATAGAAGAAGTTCTGGTGTAGAACCAAACTTACCAGTGATCACCAGGGTTGGACTGTACATTGGGAGAGGGATAGTGATAGATGTATTGTGGTGGAAAAGCCACCAAGTTGGCCATCAGAAGACTTTTGTTTTGGCCCAAGCTTTGAGACTTTAAGTAAGTCACTTTACCTCTCTGGGTTCCAGTTAAGATGAATGTGTTAGAACTCTAAGACCTCTAGGGGCGCCTGGGTGGCTCAGTTGGTTGGGCGGCTGCCTTCGGCTCAGGTCATGATCCTGGAGTCCCTGGCTCGAGTCCCACATCGGGCTCCCTGCTCAGCAGGGAGTCTGCTTCTCCCTCTGACCCTCCCCCCTCTCATGTGCTCTCTCTCTCATTCTCTCTGTCTCAAATAAATAAATAAAATCTTAAAAAAAAAAAAAAGAACTCTAAGACCTCTTTTAGTTCTATAATTCTTAGGGACTTTCTCTGTAACTTTCTGTAGACTTCTCTGGCTGCTAATGGTCGACTAAGGCCATTTGGTAGACTAAGGTCACCAGCAAGGTGATCCTGCCTTGAAGGACAGTTTGGGAATCACTGTTTTTTGGAGCAGCCATTGTAGCTCCTCTGTAGTCCATGTTAGTTCCAAAGGGATTGTGCAAATATTCCTTATTTTCGTCTGTAGATCCAGGGAAGGCATCTGTAAGCTGCATGATCAACTGCAGGCTTCTTTGGTTTTAATTTTGGTGATAGGTGACAAAATGCCACAGGAGCTTCTAGGGTTGAGCTATAGTAGAATCACAGCCTGAAAATGATTCTGAATTGTTGCCTTGCCTATAATCACACAATGAAATGTAATTGCTGGAGGGATTTTAAAAATCATCCAATTTTGTTTCTTGTTTTGAAAAACAATGAAGCTAGGGGCACCTGGGTGGCTCAGTCATTGAGCGTCTGCCTTCGGCTCGGGTCATGGTCCCAGGGTCCTGGGATCGAGCCCCGCATCGGGCTCCCTGCTCCGTGGGAAGCCGCTTCTCCCTTTCCCACTCTGCCTGCTTGTGTTTCCTCTCTCACTGTCTCTCTCTCTCTGTCAAATAAATAAAATAAAATCTTAAAAAAAAAAAAAAAGAAAACAATGAAGCTATATAGTGGCAAAACCAGGACAAGACCTCAGGTTTCCTGACTCCATTCACTGTTCCCATGAATATACTTCTCTCCTCCAAAGTCTGTCTTTTTTTTCCACAGAGTTGGAACGCCAGTTGGAAGAACAGAAGAAGCAAGCTCAGGATCACAGGCTGAAATCCCAGACAGTTCAAAATGTGGTACTGATGCCTGTGAGCACTCCTAAGCCTCCAAAGAGGCCCCGACTCCAGCGGCCAGCTTCCACCACAGTCCTGAGCCCTTCTCCTCCGGTCCAGCAGCCTCAGTTCACAGTCATCTCGCCCATCACCATCACCCCAGTGGGCCAGTCATTTTCCATGGGCAATATTCCAGTGGCCACCCTCAGCCAGGGCTCCAGTCCTGTGACTGTTCACACACTGCCTTCTGGCCCTCAGCTCTTCCGCTATGCCACAGTGGTCTCCTCTGCCAAGAGCAGCTCACCAGACACAGTGACCATCCACCCTTCATCTAGCTTGGCACTGCTAAGCTCCACCGCCATGCAGGATGGGAGTACCCTGGGCAACATGACCACCATGGTGAGCCCCGTCGAGCTGGTGGCCATGGAGTCCGGCCTGACCTCAGCAATCCAGGCTGTTGAAAGCACCTCGGAGGATGGGCAGACCATCATTGAGATTGACCCAGCCCCAGACCCAGAGGCTGAGGATACTGAGGGTAAAGCAGTCATTCTGGAGACAGAGCTGAGGACTGAGGAGAAAGTTGTGGCTGAGATGGAAGACCACCAGCATCAAGTCCACAATGTGGAAATTGTGGTCTTAGAGGATTAAGTGGGGATCTCGGGGCCAGGAGCTATGTTTTGGTTTGGAATTTTAATTATTTGTTTATTTTTATCATTGTCCCACTCATTTCCACATAGGATCCTTTTTTTTAAACAGAATCTCATTGTTGTAACTGAAAATGTTGGGTTCCTCCCACCCCCTTATTGAAAAATGGACAAAAACAAGCTGTCCTTCCAGAAGTTGAGAGTAGGTCACTCCATGTTCTAATCCTTTTACACCAAGAAAGTTATTTCTTTTAAGGGAGGCATCAGGATAATCAGAAACCCTGTCCAGAAAGCCCTTTCCAGGCTAGTCTGTCTGTGCACACATGTGGTTTTATTTTTGTAAAGGTGCATTGACCAAACTCTGGAAGGCAGATCTGACACTGGAAGGCAACCCACCCACACATGGAAGCAGAAAGATACTTTATTTTGTATCCTGGAAAGGGCCCTCAGAGGCCGGTGCAAAACTCTGAAAGGAAAGAAGGTTGACCTATGCTTGGAGGGGAAGGTGGCATGCCAGCAGCAGCTTAAAAAGGGAAGTGCTTTGGCCAGGATGGGGCAAGGAAATTATCTTAGCTCCAGAAGTGCAACTGATGCTTCTTGATATCTCTAAGGGTTATTACCATGGGTGCCATTTTTAGGAGGGGCCAGTAATAAGTGGAAGGGTATATCTCCATGGACCAAGTGGCATCAGGGGCCTAGGGGCCCGTGGCTTTGCAGAAATAGAAATCCCCGGTTGTCACAGCTAGGCTTTGTGATTCAAGCTCACCTTCCCTCCCTTCCTCAACTTTGTCAAAGCACTTAACCCTCCTAAACTAGGATCAGTCCATTCATTTGCAAACTATGTGATGTGGTGTAAATTTCTCTGGTTCTTGGGCTGCGGCTGTCATGGGGGTGGGGCTCCAAGGCCATCATTTTTATTGCATGACTCCAGGTGCAGGGGAGTTCCTCATCTAGACCAGCTGCCCTTTTTGGTGGGGCCCTTTTTTGGCTTTGGAACCAAAAGCAGCCACTCATTTGGTGCTTCCTCTTGTTCTTCCCTCCATCCCTCAATTGTTAATGGCATCTGTCTCCTGGATCCCACGCTCTTCAGCTTTTTGGCTGATTTGGAGAACAGTGACAGGTGCCTGCTTGCCTTCATCCTCTTTTAGATTCATTTATACCATTTATACCACAGATGTTTCTGTGAGATATTAAGCTCATAAAAAAACCTTAGGCTTGGCAGGGAAGACTCAACAGCCCCAGCCTATCCTGAGGCACTGAGTAGATGTCTCCTCCTGAGCGAGCTGGACTCCCTGGGAAAGAAGCATTGTCTGCAACATTATATTATAGGAAATGTACCAGGAATGTCAATAATAATATCTTGGGTTTTTTTGTTTTGTTTTGTTTTTTGTTTAATGTTGTTTGTATATTTAGAGCTGGGCCATTTTCCGTGCTGATTCCTGCTCTTTGACCATCTTCAGTGTTTGGGGCAAGAGGGGATCCTGGTTTTTATTTTGATTGCATTGTTTACTGCACTAGGACAAATATAGGGAAACTACAGACAATTTAAAGGAAAACGAGGTCAAAAAAGATAACACACACCTTAGGAGTGGGAGGTTTTTTGTTTTTTAATTAAAAGCAAAACTTTGACCTATAGTTCCCCCCCCCTTTTTTTAGAGAAGGCACCCACCTGAAGCCATGTTTCTTCCAACAGATGTTGGAAACCCTGTTGTCAAGCAAGTGAAAACCATTCTGCCATCCCTGAGATGGCTTTAATAGCTAGAGAAGCCCTCTAACTTGGGAGGGTCAATCTTAAAAGCCTTAAGGGTGAAATTTCTGAACCCCATATAGTTGTGGCTTTCAGCTCTAAAATTGTCTGGGGTTTTACTTTTCTCTTCAAAATGTTTAATAGATGTAGCAATCAGCTTAGAACAAACCTTTGGCCCTTTAGTGAGGGAACTGGCTTTTATTGTTGCCTCTTTAGGTTTTCTGATGGTACATAAACAAAAACAAAATTTCTATCTAAGCCTAAAACTGCTACTCGAACCTAGAAAGGCACATGCCATGTGCCTGTCTTGGTTTTTAGGGATACTTTTTGCTTTCCCAGAGATGGGCGTCCAATTCAGGACAGAGGAGGAGCTCTGGAGAACACCACACACTAGCTCAGGTTCCTTTCTTTCCTCCTTCAGCTGTCTGTAGTGTTTTAAAGCAGTTTGAGCATCATGCTTCCAAAGTCAAGAGATCTCCTCCTCCTGAAGACAGAACCTGTTTACTTTCACTATCTGAATATTCTGGCTTGTGGAAATACATGAGCTTTGTTGTTTTCCTGGTCTTCCAATAGCCTGTCATTATTGTTTGCTGCTGTGCTACCCATTGTTGAGTGGGGGTTTCCTCAGAGCCCTGGTCTAAATAATCTCAGACAGTGGGAGAAATATGCAAGCCGTTGGTATGTGCACAAGCAGTTGCAATGAATCATTCCTCAGGCTGACTTGGCAGGAGCCATCTATCTTTCTGTTCATTCATTAAATAAACATTTATAAGTACCATCTACGTGCCAGGCTTTGTGCTAGGCACTAGCAGTACAGAGATGGAAACAGAGTTCCTGCACTCAAGGACTTCATACTTCAGAAACTGTCTGGAGTTAAGAACTATATTTCAATATAATTGATTTCTTTTGTAACCCTATGTATTTTATTTCGTGCATTGAAAAACATTACTCTGCAAATTGGTCCATAGGTTTCAGCAGACTACAAAAGATGTAAAAAAGTTAAGCCTTTCCTAGTGAGATACTGAAACATCATCATATTGGGGTTAGTGCAGCCATGAAGCTACTGGCTGGGAGCTGAGAGAACAAAGGATCAGGCACCTAATCTGACCTGGGGAGGGGGGGTGTGTGATGGGAGTACTTACTGGAGAAGGTGTACACTTAAGCTAGTTTAGGAGAGATCATTTTGGCTAGTTTTTTTGGTACTCCATTTTCAAGTGGTGGGGCTTACTTACATAAGGGGAAAAAAATCCTTAGTCTCTTGCTGCTTCTGCCTCCAGAGCTAGGCAGAGTCAGCAGCATGGGCAGTGTCCAGAGAGTACCCCACTGAAAAAAGCCAAGTCATGCGTTAGCTTCTCTGAGTTTCCATCAGAGGAATCCAGTGCCTGACTGGAGTTTAGCTGATAGAAGGTAAATGCCCCCAGCCTTCCTGCCATGTGTTTTCCATAAAGGCCTTGGAGTCAACTGTGCAACTGTCTCACCTTGGTTCTGTCCCTGCCTTGTTCTTTTCCTCCTTTCAATTTTCAGGCGCCTTCCCTGCTCCCACCCCTAAAACAAAACAACTCCCAGTTATTCTAAAGTAAAAATATACAATATACTTGAATATTCAAGATTCAAATCCACTTCATGTGAAGTTTCTTTCATACATCTGTCCACATTAGGGAAGGAAGACCAATGTTAATACACATACCTTGGAAATTGATATTCAGTTCAGGTGGTCTGACACTTTTTAGTGGTGGCATTTTATCCCATTTCATGAAAGGCACTAAGGAAAGTGTGTTGGGAAATACTGGTATTGGTAACATCTGATTATAAAGATAGTATAATCAAGCATGAAATATATAATTACTAGTTCACTGAATTGTAACTGCTCCAGGTTTTAGTACCATTAGGAGGTGGAAAGGATAAATGAAAGGTTGAATTGTGAAAATAGGCATGAGGTTGTGATTCACTTTGGGCAATGCTCCTGAGCAAAGAGTCCTCTCTGAGAAGAAAGTCAGAAACTAGGCTAGTCCCTGCATTTTCAGACATCTTACCTAGTACAGTTGATCACAGATTCCCTCACCCCTAGGATACCTCTTGGGGAAATTCTTGCATAGTCTAATGTATAACAATAACAACCAAGGTTGTTAGACAAGGTATCAGTTCTGTTAGATTTAGACTCTGCCCCTGGAATTTCTCTTAGGCAGCCCTATTTGAGTCCTTTCCAGGATTCCTTCCCAATCCAGGAACAATTTTCTTAGTCCTGATTTATACAATTTGACTTCCTCTAGAAGGTTCTACTTTCCTCTAACTTCTTTATCCATACTCCTACTTCCTTAGCCCTAGCTTTTGGGAGCCAAAGTTGATTTGGTTCCTAAATTCTGCCATGTCAGTGATTCTCTTTCTACCATGTCAGTAACTCTTGAGACAATCATTTTTCTCAAGGAACCCCCAAGACCCAAACCTCAGCATACATCCATAGTCTGCAGTCTTCATTACCTAAAACAGCTTCCTCAGCTCCATCAATCACCTGAATTGAAGCACCTTTCGGATGTGTTTGTGCAGTGACTAAAACCTGTCTTTTTTTGGGGAGGGGAGACACCTGGGTGGCTCAGTAGGTTAAGCATCTGCCTTCGGCTCAGGTCATGATCCCAGAGTCCTGGGATCAAGGCCTGCATTGGGCTCCCTGCTCAGTGGGGAGTCTGCTTTTCCCTCTCCCTCTGCCCCTCCCCCCAACTCGTATTCTCTCTCTCAAATAAAATTTTTTTAAAGGTTTTATTTTTTATTTATTTATTTGACAGGTAGAGACACAGCAAGAGAGGGAACACAAGCAGGGGGAATGCGAGAGGGAGAAGTAGGCCTCCTGAAGAGCAGGGAGCCCAATGTGGGGCTCGATCCCAGGCCTCTGGGATCACGACCTGAGCCGAAGGCAGACACTTAACCGACTGAGCCACCCAGGTGCCCTGCAAATAAAATCTTAAAAAGAATAAGATTTTAAGTAATCTCTACATCCATTGTGGGTCTTGAACCCACAACCCTGAGATCAAGAGTTGCATGCTCCACCAAATAAGCCAACTAAGTGCCCCTAAATCCTATCTTTTATATCCAACTGATTCTCTACCTATGACCCATGGCCCAGGCTAAGACATGCCTGTTTCCTGGATAGATTATTTCAGCCCAGTATGATTCCTACTGCCTCTTCACAACTACCTGAAATTTCTGTTATGTTTTATGAGCCTCTCAGCCTATAGTAGACTACGACCTACTTGGAAATTTCCTCTGGGTTCTCCTCTTGCATCTATGGTTTCCAATTCTGTACTTTTACTGATAGTTATGGCTAGTAATATGGTATACAGGAATTTTATTTTTCTAGTTTGAGAACAAGAATGAACAATAGTATTGGATCACATCTAAGGGTAAATGTGAGGGTAATAACCCAGAAGGAAAGACAAGTTCCTCAATGGACTTTGTAGGAGCTTCTAAAGAAAGCATATACAGAGAGGGTTTACTTGCATTCTGAAGTATAAGTTTGTTTTTTTTAAGAACTACTCTGCTGTTTCCTCTAAAGAAATCTATGTATTACAGAGCAAACTGGAAGCCCAGAACCCTGATTCTCCTGAGACTTTGGCCCACATTTTTGTTAACTTTTTATGAAATATAAATGCATAGAGGAAAGTGCACAGATGACTGTACAATTTGATAAAATTAAACTGAACATATCCATTAAATCAGCTACCAGATTAAGAAAAAAAAAAAGCACCTCACCCAACCAGGATAACCACCAACTAGCTCTCTAACACTATGGCTTGGTTTTACCTGTTTTTGAACTGTTCTGTGGCTGGCCTTTTCTTTTTTCCTTCCCTTTCCCTTTTTTCTTTCTTTCTTTCTTTTTCTCTCTCTCTCTTTCTTTCTTTCTTTTTCTTTCTTTCTTTATCTTTCTTTCTTTTCCTTTCTTTCTTTTCCTTCCTTCTTTCCCTTCCTTCCTTCCTTCTCTCTTCCTTTCTTATTTTCTTTCAGAGAGCTGGAGATAGCACATGCGCGTGCACGCGCGCGCGCGCGCGCACACACGGGGACGAGGAGGGGCATAGGGAAAGGGAAAAGAGAATCTCAAGCAGGCTCCACGCTGGGCTGACATTGGGCTCAACCTCATGACCCTGAGATCATGACCTGTGCCAAAATCAAGAGTCGGACACTTAACTGACTGAGCCACCCAGGTGCCCCGAACATTTTCTCATTCAGTGTTATGTTGTGATAGTCACCCATGATGTTGTGTGAAGTTGTAGCTGGTTCTTTCTCACTGCTGTGCAGAAACTGTAACTGTGTCATAGCTGATCCATCCATTCTAATGATGGTTGCTTGGGGGGTTTCCAGTTTGGGGCTATTATAAATAGTGCCTCTGAACATTCTTGTCCATGACTTTTGATGAACATATAAATGCATTTATACCTTTCAAACATTAGGACAGTTCACATGAAAAATTCAAGATACAGTTTTTCTTAAAAAACAAAAAACAACCTAAAAGATCTGACAACACTGGGTCCACATTTCCTCATAGCAGCCCTTGTCGGGAACTGAGGCCTGTCTCTGGTGGGGCATGGTTTCTACACCATGTGACCCTGTCACTCCCTATTATAGACCTAGACCCTCTTATTTGGTAGCCTATTTTTTTTTTTTTTTGATTCAGTAATCTCTTAGGACACTCTTCCCCCAGATAACTGCAAAGCTTATTTCCTCACTTCCTTCAGGTCTCTGGTCACATGTTACCTTATCAGAGAGGACTTCCCTGACCACCCACACTAAGAAAAATGGTAACTTCCCCTGCACCATGCTTTCTAGTTTTCTTTGCCCTGTTTTATGTATCTGACATACTTTTTTTTTTTTTTTTTTGCTCCCCAAGCTAGAATGGAAGCTCCATGAGAGCAGGAATCTTTCTTGTCTCTTTGTCACTGCTGTTTCTACAGGCCCTAGAACAGTGCCTGACTTGTAGTAGAAACTGAACAGGTATTTGATGTATGAATACTAAATAGCCAATACTCACTGAAGGGGAACAATGTACCAAGCATTGTTCTAAGTACTTTACATATGTTAACCCATTTGATCCTCACAACAATCCTATGTGGTGGATTGCATTATTTACTTCATTTTACAGTGAAGAAACATATTTATATTCTACCCTAAACAATAGATACATTTGAATAATTGTAACTCATTACATTTATTAAACAGAGTCTTTAAACTACTAGAGAAACTTAATATCTAAAAGGAGCCCTTCAATGAATCATTATATAATAATGGTATTTTATTTGATAACATGTTTAGTTACTACTTAAGTTAAAATTTTCAGTTGTAGGACTGGGCCTTGATCGGGCTGCAGCTTAGGACTGCGGAGATCTGGAGCAGTGGTAGCTTGTAAGATTTTGTGATCTGTGCTGGGCAGCAAGTCCCGTTCCCCCATCTCGCCAGGGTTCCCAAGAGGAAGTACTGGAGTGAGGGAAAGTTCATTTACTGAAGGATTTTAGAACCCAGATCATCTGTCTGTCACAGGAAGTACTGACTTACCACTTTTTTTTTACTTTTTTTTTTTTTTTAAGTAATCTCTATGCCCAATATGGAACTCAAACACACAACCCTGAGACTGAGTTGCACACTCTACTGACTGAGCCAACCAGGTGCCCCTGATTTATCACTTTGTTAATGGCCCTCTTTGAAATGATGATGGTGTCAGGGTCCTTTCTTAGAGCTTCATTTCTTTTTTTTTTTTTAAGATTTTATTTTATGTGACAGCGAGAGAGGGAACACAAGCAGGCGGAGTGGGAGAGGGAGAAGCAGGCTTCCCGCTGAGCAGGGAGCCCGATGTGGGGCTCGATCCCAGGACCCTGGGATGTGACCTGAGCCAAAGGTAGATGCTTAACCGACTGAGCCACTCAGGCATCCCAAAACGCCTTCACTTCTTTGTAAAGGTCCTATGGTACAGAACCCAAGTCCATGTGCCAGTTGTTGCACAGGGACCATAGTACTCCATAGAACATTATTAGCACTGTAAAGCTTTGGCTAACTGAGCAAAAAGCTAATACTCCCTTGCTCCAGGAACTACTTTGCTACAGAAATGGTAAGTTCACTCTGCCATTGACTGAAACACTCTGGTTAGCATTTCTGAGCAAACTGGACACAACTTCTCATTTACTTGCCTTGTTTAAGTTCTCTGTAGTTCCCACCCAAGGACCAGGGAAGGATTTATCTGTAAAGAATTGTCACAAATAGTTCAGACCCACATTCATTGGTTTAGTTATTCTCTCTTGGCACAAACTTAAAATTGAACCAGCCCTTCCAGGAGTTCCCTGGCTTCATTTCCCCTTGGCATTATCTCCAGAAATTTTGTTTGCTCTCCATTTTTCTCTCTGTCTGATTGTCTTACGTTGAGACCTTAAGCTATGCCTTAGCACACTGCTACCTGGACTTTTAGATCCCATGTATTAATAAAAGAGAA